CTTGGTAGTATCCGTCTACCAAATCCAGCGCACTGTACAGTACGCTCCCGGCCATGTTGTTCAACAACACATCCTTTCGTGGGATCGGTGTTTGGGCCGGCACCGTTGCGTTGTTCAGCTTGTTATAAGCGTGAACCAGACGCCACTTTCCGTTCGGCTTACGAACGCAGAAAGTCGGCGTCGAGTGCGGGGATTTCGACTCCCGCACCATGCCTGCCTTCGCTTTCGCGGCGAAGAAGGCATCAATGACCTCGCACTGCTCGCGCGGAAGAGGCCATTGCCTCGTGACGCAATACTTTGTGCCGGGCACGAGATCAATCTCGTGCCGTACGCCTCGATCCGGTGGAATTTGGTTCGGTGGGTGCTTGTTCACCACGTCCGCATACTCCGTCACCAAATGATACACCGGATCCTTGGGGTTCTTGAGAATCTCAGAACCCAAGCGTGCCTGACGCTGCTTGTTCATGTCTTCCAGGACGTTCTCGTCCAAGACAGAGGAGGAGTTCAGCTCCTCCTGAGTGGTCTCAGGTCTCATGAGTACCATCTCAGCAATCTCTCCAGCCTTGAGGTTGGTCAGGAAAGTCTCAGCCGTCATTTCCTCGAGGTTCAGTATCTCTGCAACCTCTGGCAACGGTTCCAAGTGGACACCAGATGCCTTGACGGGTAAACCCGTCTCGCTATCGAAGATGTGATAACACTCTTCCACCGGCCTTGTCGGAGGAGCCCGGGCCCTGGACTCCGAGTCGCTTGAAGCGACGTCGATCGGAACGAAGTTCGGATCCGACTTGAGGCGGCGGCGGCGTCTTTGCCGACGGCTTCTGTGACGGGGAGCTTTGCTGCTCACGTCTAGGGATGTCGTCGCTACGACATCCGAGGCACTCGTGGCCTCGTGTGGTACTGTTGTACCCACACAGGAAGCGTGTTCAACGCCTTCCTCTTCAGTTAAGGTCTGGGCGACCGCGTGTGGCACTGTGTTACCCACACAGGAAGCGTGTTCAACGCCTTCCTCTTCAGTTAAGGTCTGGGCGACCGCGTGTGGCACTGTGTTACTCACACAGGGAAGCGTATCCGACGTCTTCCTCTTCAGTTATGGGTCTGGGCGACCGTGAGTGGAACTCTGTTACCCACTCTGAACACGCTGTTCTCAGTGTTCATGACAGCTGCAGCTGTCTGCGGAACTAAGTTACCCGCCTGTGGACCTAAGTTACCCACTTGGCCGACGCCTCTTCTGGGCGCGGCCACCATCAAAACATTCTCGGAGTCGTCATATACGTCGACGACTCCCAAGCATCTGCCGGATGCTTTGGTACCCTGGCAGCCCTCGCGGGCGCCCCGGGTCCTGACAGAGGTGGGAACATGACTCACCAATGCTCTGTCGGACTGCGCAGGGCGGCTGGCACCGATTGCCTCGCCAGTCGATCCAGGGCTCGACCTCAAGCCAAGGCATGCCCAGGATCATATCATATGGATCCATATCGAGAACAGTGAACTGTTCGAGGCTGTCAAAGTCTTCAAACTTGACGGCCAGATCCACTTGGACGTTGGGGACAGTGACGACCTTCCCGTCGGCCAGTCGCACTGATACCTTCCCGTTGCCCTTGCTTTCTCTCAAAGCATCAGACAGCTGGTTGCTGTTACGAGCAACCGTCTGGCGGCGTGCGAAATTCTTCGACGCCCCAGAGTCAATCAAGATTCTAAAGAAATGATCGTATCCCCGTACACATCCGTGTACTACGAGCAACCCGCCGCTGCTCTTCGCCAATTCGAGAGTGCGAAGACTCTCAGGGGCTAAGTCCCCGTGGTACGCGCCACCCGCGCACCCATCACGAAGACTTAGTTTTTCCCCAGTAGGGCGCCCCGCCCCTACTGGTTCCCGGCGTTCCCCTGTCCCCGGGATCCTGGCTTCTGCCAGCGACCCTTGAGGACGGGCTTGGGGAAGGACCGTCTGCGGAGTCTTTCCGCAGGACAGTCGCGCTTGAAGTGGCCCATCTTCCCACAGCCGAAGCAGCGGATGTCACGCTGTTCGGCGGACCCGAGTTCCATGGGAACTGGTCCGTTGGGGCTTGTTCGACCGGGAGCCGACAAGGAACTCCCAGACCATGCTGAGGCCGGCGTACGCGCCTGGCGATGGCTGTACTCGTCTTGAAGAGCCACTTGAATCGCCTCGTCAAGGGTGCTTGACTGCACCCGGAACAGCTGAGTGCGTGCGAGACCCACTCGAAGGCCGTCCATGAACACAGTCATTTTGATGTGTTCGTTGAGTGGGTTTCCCACTAGGGACGCCGTGAGCTCCCGTATCTCTTGCACATACTCGTGCAGTTCGCGCTTTCCTTGCTTACACGCGAGGAAGCGCGAACACTGGCGGTACTCGTAGTTCGCCGGGAGGAACGCGGCTCGGAGCTGTTCGCACAGCTGAGCCCAGGATGTGAAACATCCAGGGGATGTTGCTTCCCGAGTGTACACCCAACTCTTAGCACGACCGCTAAGGTTGGAGAGTGCAAAAGCAACACGCAGTTGCTCGGTCGAGATCAGAGCCGCGTCCATCGCGAGCTCTACTTCTCGGACCCAGAAGTGAAGGTCCTCGCCTTCCTTCCCTTCATACGGCTTAACCTTCAGCCGTATTGGCTTCGGGTGAGGCGGATTTGCTTCCGCCGCCGGAGCCTGCAGGTTCTGCCGCACATGCGCAATGAGGCCCTGCTCGTACGCGTCAAATGCATTGACGCGCTCGAGCTGCTCAGCCGGTGTTGACACCACCAGGCTCTGCAGGGCCTCCATCCTGAAGATGCCTGCCATCTTCCGAACCGACTCGAACTGAGAGTCGTTCAAATGGGAGAAGTCGTTCCTATCCATGGCAACGAACTTCGGAGAGGTTCATGTAGTCTACCCGCGGTGGCGTGGATTGACTACTAGTGCTACCAAGTGTGACGGGGTCACACAGCACCTTGCGCTAGAGGAAGTTATCTTCCGAGAGTATACAAACTCTCACTGAGCGGCAGTTCACAGGTCCCCTCTTTAATTAAAGTGAGCGAAGTGACCTAAATAAGGTAGATTGTAAACTGAGTATATTTATAGGTAGGTTAAGTTTGGGTTTAATACAAACTATTTGTTACCTATAGAAATGCAATGTCATTTAACCAATGGTTGGCTTTGAACGACCTTGGTACCTTGTACCAAATATCCCGGAGTATGACGTGTCATACTCCTGAAGTGTGAAGTGTCACACTTCATGTAACCAGGGTACACTTAGGGCTACGTACCCCGTTACATAAATAAAGCTGAAACATTATACCGGAATTAACGGTATTTTTGCAACCGATCAATTTTTTGCAACCAGTGGCCCGTAAAAAGTCTGCAGCACCAACAAAATTAACCAGTTTGGCATCAAAACAGTGTCCCAGTTAAAGCGCGCTATTGCTTACAATATTGTGAGCAAAGCGACGGTTTCAAATGAACAGGAGTATCTTGTGCGAGATTTTACCTTTACACGGTTGCAGAAAACACGTAAATTCCGGTAGAACATCATTGTACACAGTTAAATTTTCGTACTTAGAGTTAAGACTCATTTTGTTTAGGGCGGTCTCACTTTATTAAACTTTTTACAACTGTTGCACTGAAGCCGTGGTTTACTGTACTACTCGTAGCACTACCAGAATTTAAAGCGGCTTTTTGGATGTTCAAGACTCGCCAATCAGTGCTGCGATCTCGGTACACGTCGACACCTTCTCCTTCTCTCATGAACGGTGCCAATCTCAAACCTACAGCCGCGGAACGAACGCCTGACGAGCAGCACTTATGGTCACCAACGCCACTGCACTGTCGGATGCTGTTCTCAGCGAGATGCTCTCTTTCCTTTACATGGACGACCTGCTGGCCCTGGAGCGCGTCAGTCACTCGTGGCGGTGGACACTAGCGACTGCGCGCTTTTGGACCCACGCTCAATTGGAACATCAGTGGTTCAGCAGCGAACATGCGTCTACGCTCGTCAATCTTTTGGCAAAGCGTCACGGCTCGCAGGTGAAGAGGTTGACGCTCGTCGGGTGCGTCATACCTAGAGGGTCATTGGTGAAGGCAGCCAAATCCTTCTCGAGCTTGACGCACTTGACTGTCTCTGGCTGCCAGACGCTTGCTGATATGGATTTCTCGGCCATCGTCCAAGCGTCGACCCAACAGTTGTTTGAGGTGCGCGCAGTCAAGTGCTTACGACTTACTGACACCGCGCTACAAGCGATCAGTGCTCACCACTCACAGTCGCTGGGCAGGATTAACTTCAGCTACTGTAGACAGATTTCAAAAGACGGGGTACAAGCTATAGCTCGATGCTGCGGCAACGCACGCTCGATTAAGTTGAAAGGATGTCCCGCAGTGACGTCCTCTGCTGTCACTTGTATTGCCGAGAGCTGTCCAAAGCTCGAGACGCTCCTAGTTGGTGGTGCGAAGAACCTGACGGACGACTGCTTGCTGGCTCTTGCGAATCACTGCCCGCGTTTAACGACACTTGATATTTCAAGAAGTAACCCGTTCGGATTTGGTCGTGGGGGCATCTCTGACAACGCTCTAAAGTACCTCGCTTGTCGGTGTCAGCAGTTAGAGCACCTGACTCTGTGCGGTCAAGGCCGATTGACGCTATCGGTGCTAAGTTCGCTTGCAATCTCGTGCCCAAGACTCGAAACACTGGACATCTGTGGGTGCCACGACATTATCTCGAATCCATATGCGTTAGGTGCAGAGTTGAAGCGCATGCGTGGGCTTCACGAGCTTAGCGTCGCGTTCGGACGCGGCTTGAAAGGAGAACAAATCGATTTTATCGCGTCCCAATGTCCACAGCTGAAAGCGTTTCGTGTTGATGGAGATAATATCGTCGCGGCCCACACTTGACTTGTATGAAGCGATGCGTCGCGGTTGAGTGCGTATATGAAGTGAAAACTGCCCTCGGGTTTGCTGCAAGTCTTTTCTTCATCCGCACATGCATGTTGATATGACACGAGCAAATCCTCATTGAAGCCTGCCTTACTCCACAACATACTCACTTTTAAAAAAGACTTCGATCGCTTGTGCAGCGGATGTGTTTAGCACCGTCACGTCCAATAACTTTTCGGCTCCAGCTTGAGCAATCGACGCGATGCTGCCTGCATAAAGCTGGTGTAAATACCCTCCGACCGATGGAGTTTGGAGTTCAAGTGCACGCACCAAACAGATCGAGCAGCATTTCGCATTCGTCAACACTAAGCAATGGGAAGTTGGTCTGCAACGTGTCCATGACGTGCTTACGAAGGAGTAACTCGCCGTTCATCTAGTGGTGGTTGTTGTAAAGGTTATAAATCAATCCCGCTTGAACAACTACATCGAATGTTGTATACTCGGAGGGCGAACTTACGCGCTTTTTGAGTTGATCAGCCTTTTCGGTGTTTTTGAAGGCGAGTTTTTCGTGGACAGATACCTGCGGGAAGATAATCACAGATACCTCCCAACTTAAAATCAATGAATGGTACGTCATACCATTAGTTTGGTTGCACCAGATATGCCGAAGACTGTAAAAGACATTTATATCAATTGGATGCCGTCCCCAACCACAGCACATTTTAGATGCGACTACCCGTGAAAATCTTGATCTTTATGGAATTGCTCATGGCGAATAGCTGCAGCTCAGTGAACCGCGGGATCGGAAGAACAGCAATCGCAAATGCGTTTTCAAATGACTTTGCAACCTTCGAGAGCCTGTACAATACACAAAACGCTTTTCTGAGAGTGACTGAATCTTGTTATTTCCCCAGTAGGAAATCGTCTTTCTTTCCTCTCAATTGTATTCTCGATCGAAAACCCCGGCGCGTCCTTGTGAATAAACTGTTGCATCACTAGTTTACATCGTATAAAACACTCAGGGTCTGTCAATTAGCCGTACCACGAACGCGACAGGGGGAAATTCGCCCTTCCGCTGCGAGATCATGACGTCTGAGATACGTGATCAGCTGACAAAAAGTACTCAGACTCGAGCTGGTGTTTGTACTCGCTCACCGGTGAGACAGCCAACCGCTTCTGTAGCAACATAAGACTGTAAAAATGAGTAACTCCTTTCCGCTTCCCACGATAAAGTTCTCTCCTGCCTTTAGCTCGAAACCCGTACTTCCCTTCAAGCTCTTGCGCAACTGCACTCCACCACAACGAATTAGAAGAACAGCACAAGACGCCGCATTTAATTGCACCTTCAGCGGGCACTGTGTGTGGGTTGTAAAGGGCCAACTGCTCCCTGGCGCCTTGACAGCGCGTGATCATTTTTTATGCAGATGCGGAATTCAGCTTGGTGACCATCACTCTACCACACAGTATTTACACAACGGACTATATGCTCCAGCTCATAGTTTTCATAGATAGCTTTGAAGGTACTCAGACGTTCTTAGGCATGTATAGCAAATCGAGACCAGTCGAGTATTTATTGCAATATATTAATTGGTCTGTCTATAGTCTACAAAGGCCAATTTTTGCAAGAGCGGGAATATTATGTAGGACTTGTGGCTATGCCTCATCGTCCCAGAAAATTCATATATACATTGTAACAATACCTGCGTTGCGCCAGTTTTTTTTCCTCCTAAACCAAGCGGCTCGTACCGAATGTTCTACACGGGATCGACGCCGAGGACATAATTTCAAGTTTGAAATCTCATGTAGTTTGGCAAAGCCAGTTCATGACGTTTTGCCGTGCAACAAATTCTGTTTGCTAAAAAAAGACGAAGTACCACGTTTTGACCAGACCTCTGAAATAATAATTGTATTGGAAATCCAATACAATATTTTATAGTCAATGAGTTATTTTGGAAAAAATTAGTCCATCGCCAGTAATTTATTTTTACCAAGTCCAAGCCATACATTTTTTTTTACGAAATTTACGTTTCACCCTTCATATACCTCGTAATTACGCCCTACAACTTGGTTGGTGCTGCACTGGTGCATGATGTAAAGCTCCCGATTAATATTTATCTCTCACTTTTGCTCTCGCCATGACCTCTAAAGCCACCTTCAGTGCCAAGCAAGTCTGCTCTTACTTTTTCACGCCGCTGCTCGATGGCCAAGACGAGCCTACCGGTTACCACCGCTGCCAGTGTGGTACGGTCCGCAAACAAGACTTGAAGACTGGCTACTTCTATCTCTTCCTTCATGTGACGAAGCAACTCCCTGACTACGTCGCAACGGTGACGACCAGCGGGGTCAACTCAAGAGCGCTCGTAAGCTTCATCACCAGAAGAGCTAGACGATCTACTCCTGGCTAGACTACGTCACGGCGTGCAGCCTGCCTTTCTCCATTTACGAAGATCCTACTGTGGTCAAGTACACGACCATGAAAACGATTTGCTCGGAGACGCTGCTGAAGTATGCGGTCCTGCTGACCAAGGAGGTTGAAATGGAGATCGCCGATATTCTTCCTGCCTCGTTTGGTGTCATGCTTGATGGTTGGAGCTTCCAATCGGAGCACTACGTCGCCGTTTTTGCGGCTTTTGAGCACGATCAGCGCTCGGAAAAGGTGTTGCTAGCACTAGCACCGATTGTCGACGAAAAGGCTGAAGACCAGTCGGCCGAGAGTCACGTCTTGTTTCTTAGAGGTATTCTACCTTTCCTTAAGCGTGACACAGCGAGCATTTGTTATCTGGTGGCTGACAATTGCTCGGTCAACAGTCGGCTAGCTGATTTGCTTCAGGTTCCATTCATTGGATGTGCAAGCCACTGTCTCAATTTGGCTGTAAAGTTGTACTTGCTTGACGACGAACCTTTAATGGAGCAGCTTCAACAACTTATGCGTAGATTACGCTGCCTCAGCAAAGCTGCTGCGCTCAGGTAAGAAATCAGTATTACCGGTATTTCGATGTTTTTACTAATTTTATTTTATTCTTTTTTTTAGGCAAAAAACTGATTTCAGGCCAGTTCTTCGCCAAACAACAAGATGGACGTCAACGCTCAAGATGATTGGACGATACTTAGCAATCCGGTCTGCCTTGGACACCGATGACAACGACGTCGTGGCGTTGATGCCAACGCGCAGGCAGGAGAAGCGTCTACAGGAGCTGCGGTCCGACCTCGGCGACTTTCAGTCCGCGACGATGAAGCTTCAAAAGGACCTCTTGACGATTCTCGACGTGCGTGATATATTCGATGCTCTTGTCGTGAAACGCCCAGTGGTTGACAAGTACCTTGCGGCAGACGCTTCTATAATTAAGAGTCCTGCTGTCGAGGAGGCATGTGTGCTGACGTTCGCAGGAAAGGACAACGAGCTGACGGGCGAGCAGGAGTTGATGCTGCTACCGTTCGAGACGGTGCCAGCAGCGGACACAGGCAGTGAAGACGCGGGAACTGCACGACCCCAAGGATTCGCGGACCGGGTGCTGAAAGCGCGAAAGAAGCAGCGCACGGCCCGGAAGAAGTTTCGCGGAGTCGAGTACATCCCGCCGACATCCAATACCGTGGAGAGGCTTTTCAGCATCGCGAAGCATACGCTGCCACTTCATCGCCATGGTATGCTCCCGATGCACCTGGAGACCGTGCTGTTTTTGAAGCTGAAGAGGCACTTTTGGAAAGCAGCCACCGTAACCAAGGTGGTTCATGCTCAGTGAATTGATCTTGCTGTGAGCTCGGGGTAATGGCAATACAATTTCATTACGGACAATAACTTATTTTGCGTTCCTTCACGTTGATAACAATTACTTATTTTCTTGTGATGCAGCAATTCTATTGCAATAGTATTATCGAAGGGTCTGGTTTTTTGACTTGAGTGCACAAGCAAGCGTAAGTCGGTTGGATTAGAGAGACATAAGCTCTCCGACATGGCAAAAAGGACATCGGATAGATTTTGCCTTATAGAATTGAATTCGTAAAATATTCCTGCAACCCATTGCTCTCTAAGCCTACGAGAAATATGCTAATATTGGTTTTGCTCTGAGCTTTCTAGGTGGGTATCCTACATGTACTAGGGATGAAATTGCCGGTGAAATTAGGATATTTCGTAATATTTGGGCCACCGGAAATGACTACTAACATTGGAACGTGGCATAAAACATCGTTTTACAAATTTGTTTTGATTAAAATATTGAAAGCCTCAAAAACGAAGTGTATAGGGAGGTAAATGGCTAACCTCAGACACCTTAATTTGAGGCTAGAGCTATTTACCATTGTGTGCCTTCTATACCCCACATGAAAGCCGCGCAGTAACGCATTATTGACACCGACTGGTGATTTCAGAGACGGGATAATTGTGCCCATCGACCCACCGAACATGACCGATTGCGTTGGGTCAAGGCAAAAAGCCAGGTTTTTTTTTGTGATGGGATGTATACATCGTACAACCCGAATGCCAACACTTAGAGAATTCTGTTATCTGACCTCATGAAGGTTCACTTACCATTGGCCGCGTTTCGACGCGTATATGACATTGTTAAAAGTCCATAACATTGATAAAAGGCACCTAGCACTACGCACAAATCTGACTAAAGAAGGCTAAAGGAGCATATTGCTTTACATATAGTCGCAGACACATCTGCAGATAGAGGTAGCGCAGGTACTGTGGTGTTTTCTTACGCAATTTCCAGCAATCTCCGCACCACCATACATTTCAAACGTACATGTCGCAATTGTGGCTGTCTTGATGAGCTCCAAACATAGTTGTCCACTTTGTATCTTCCTTCTGTCGGTGGAAGGAGCGGCACTAGGCTGTGAGCCAAAGCTCGGAGAGCCGTGGTATACAAGCCGGATACGAAAGGTACACTCACCAAGACCTTTTAGAGAAGCCGCCATGCACCCGATCTCCTACTTTCCTGTTCATCCTGGTGCAAGAACCCAAAACGTGGCGTGGAAGACCTTGCTTCTTGAACGTACTGGCTCAGCAACGTCGCCGACTTGCGTTATTTGCCCCTGTGAGTGGTAAACAGTAGCACTGACTTGGCCACACTTGTGCCAAGGGCTTGCGTGTTAATCATTAACTAACCCGGACGAGGTCCCAGTCAATAAAATGGGATGACAGCGTGGTACAAATGCTATAGCCCGACCTCATATTCGATTTTACACTTCTGGAGCAAATAATGATGATTTTAAAAGTTTTCGCGATGACGACTGAGAACTTTGTAAGCTCATTTGCATTCGCAAGTGGGTAGGGGCTGTGAACCACAATCTTCTTACCGACGTGTGTTACGAGGGCGCTAACGATTCGCAGCAGGACAAGTGATCCGGTGCACACCGCGACAAGAAGACAGAAGTAGCCGACGCCATTCGTCAGTTTGCGAACCAATCATGGAGAGAAGCTCTCGCAAACACGAAAACAAGATATGCTGGCCGTGAATAGCATCTCTTGGGGCAAAGCGAAACACATCGTGTCCTGTACATCCAAATTAAACTGCGGGGAGAAGCAATTTTGGTACGCTGCAGGATTACGGTTTTGTAGGCATGCTCTAAATGCTTATAGAAAGGGAATTCAGAGCAAGGGCCCGCGTAGACATACGGGTGGAGATCACAACTTTGAAATTGGAGAATCAAAAACTGGTGAGCGATTTGCATTGTAAAGATGTTGTGAGCTTAAAGAATATGCATTCAAATTGGTAGCTTGTTCGCTGCCCATTTGTATGCGGCTGCCTACTACACCTTTGCCCGGCCAAACTCGGATTAAGCAACATGCAAAGTCAAAATATAACTTCGGGTTACGTTTGGTGACTTGTGTTTATTACATTAAATTCCGAAATGTGCAAGCAAGGCCGATTTTGCCGCAAACAAAGTCGGAGAGAGGCCAGCTCATCTGCCATACTGCATATCCTCGAGGTCCCTAGCGGCAATGACAGCATCGCGACAGTGTAATTCCATCTGACCCACTAACGTGGGCGTCATACACCGCATGCTTGCTCGAGCTGCCCGCTCCAAGAACTGCATTTGGCGCTCTCCGAGAGTGATTAACTCGCCATTTTCATCGCGGTGCACTCCGCGACGTCTATCGCAAATTTGTTCTCGGTCGACAGCCAGTTCGCTCTTAATTCTTGACTTAAAGACGCTGAAGCACCCCTCGATGGGGTTGCACATTGGCGAATAGGGGCCCAGTCGCAGCAGCTTCAGGTCTGCGTGCGCGACAACACGCTCTTCCGTCTGACTGTGAGCAGGCGCGTTGTCGAGCACGATCACGATCTTCTTGCCGCGGAAGCTCTCACGGAACGCCTCAGGCTCTTTCACCTTTTGGTATACCTCTTCGACAAATTCAGCGTTGCAATCCATCTGAATGCTACCTCGTTGGAGGCGGTGGTGCACAAGCC